CAAAAGTGGTTGTCTTCTACATTCCCGTAGCTACGATTTGTGGTCTGGTGAAAGCTCTAGAACCTTCTAGAAGACCCACAATGTCACAAAGTTCACCCAGGGTCAGAGTGATGGTCACTTCTTGATCTCCGCAACGAAAAATCGTCTGTGAAAAAAAGATATGATCCTAAAGTGCTTTGTCTCAATAGCGTTTGTACACGGTTTTAGGGTATTTCGCTGAAAATTTACATACAAATTTGAGAAATAGTCATGGCTACATATTTTTGGCCAGCACTGTATACATATGTAATCAAAAGATAGCGGGCAACACATCTACGACCTGATTTACACAATAGAGTATTACATCTGACAAAAACGATGTCAGAGAAGCTCGACAATAGCATATTTCCCTTTATTATCGAAGAATATGATTCAGTTGTTAATTTGGAAACAGGCTGGCAAATCTTTCAGGGAGTTGAAGGAGCTTCATTGACAGGTTGTTCGCAAGTATAGTCACGTGCGTTTTTCGCGCTGACAAATTTCTCTTTTTGAGATGCTACATTGGAAAGTATGGTCTGCAGACAAATTCCACGAAAATCGAGGCGACTATAGTTTGGCCAATGCATCTGTCTCATCGTTTCTTGAGGAATTGAATTGACCAGTCCGACGGCTTGCACAAATTATAGTACAAGTCATATCAATATAACAGGGTCCCCGTATAAAAGATGGCAAGTGGTGCTGGGGTGCAGCGAAAAGGGCTTCTACAAGGCTCTGAGACAAAGTCTCATGTGTGATTAAGTTCTCGATCTTTTAAAGCAGCTATTCTGTGCCGTCTATGATGCTTCAGACTTTGCCATCGGCTGTGCTACTCTCCGAGTCGATTCCAATGAAAGGGAACGGATCATAACGTTGATTTAGTGGCAGCACTGAGATGCGGATAAGATCTACTCCGTTTGAAACTAGAAATGTAACGGGGTTACACTTACCCTAGTATGAAAGGTTGAATCACACAAGATGGTGTGACCGTACAAAGGTGTGATTTGCCCAAGACGGTGTGACCAGTCAATGGTGTGGCTACACCGTAACAAGAAGCCACTGCGTGGTGGGGCTGTCAGTAGTTATGCATATTAATTAAGTCTTACTGTTTAATTATGAAGACGTAAAGATTTTGATATAGGTGGCTTTGCCGCAAATGAAACAGTTTTAATTTTAAACGAAAGAGTACATTTGCTTTGGGGAAGAACTGAGCTCCTTAAGTCTCAAAGTGGTAGATGGTAGCAGGTCCCAGCTCCGAAGAGCTCCGTGCTCTTGGTGGATGGTAGCAGGTCCCAGCTCCGAAGAGCTCCGTGCTCTTGAACACGGAACGTGTATGCAAGCCGGGCTTGTTGATCGTATAAGCAACCGTGAAGGGCTTTGAGAAGCCATGGAAGATCTTAATCGATTACGGGACGCTTCACGATGGAAGGAAGATAGCTTTATGCTGAAGCGCTGAAAACGCGGTTGCGTGATACCGTCACTGTTCGCTTGGCGACGAGGACTTGAGTCACTGTGCCGAGGGCCCCTGTGGATCTCGGTGTCAAGTTTTTTTGACTTTGATAGCGTGAAACTCTGCTTAGTCTGAGACATGTATTCAAGGTATGACCTTGGCTTAGGTATGACATAGTTGGAGCATCATGAGCCATGGATCGATTGGATGTCGAAGACCTTGGGCGCTTCGCGCACGTCTCCTGGTGGGGGTATGGTGAATTATGAACCCGCCTCTGCTAGAAAGCAGAAGTGCTATTGGCGCTAGCACTGGACCGGGACGGTCAATGTGCTGGATACCGGAGTATCCGAGTTGGCGAACACCGAAGGTGTATTGGTTAGGAGTCCTGAGCATGTCTCGCGGGCTGAACGTAGAGTGCGCGTAATTCACCGAGCGCTGTTCAAGTATCAAGCCGTTGCTATATGCCAAGAGTGGCATGGTCGGCCGAGGGCAGAGGCATCGAAGGCGAAGCCCCAGTGATGCTCGTGGTGTGGTACTTCACCCACTGAGCACTGCTCAAGTATCAAAGCAGCTGCTGCATGCCAAGAGTGGCATGGCCGGACGAGATCCCAGGCATCGAGGGCGAGGCATAACTACTTGCAGTCCCGCCACGTAGTGGCTTCTTGTTACGGTTTAGCCCCCCATTGTGTGATTACACCGTCTTGTGTAATCCACACCTTTGCACGCTCACAACATCTTGTGTGACCCTCCATTTCATACCAGGGTATGTGTAACTCGTTACACTCCCCCCGCGCAAGTCATAATTCAAGTGACACCCACTCTCGCAGAACAGAATTTGCTTGTCTTAATTTTTTTGCTTTGTCTATCTTAAATAAATTTAATTTTGTATCTACACAAGGTAGTTCAGGAGTGTCGTGAATTTCAAAGTAAGCCAAATTTTTCTAATGCAATATATCTCAGGATGCGCATCCACCCGGTGTTATATCTGGGCTTGCTTAAGCCGTACCAGAATCCAGCGCAAGTGAGCGCGGAAGCGTTGGCGCCGGGGCGGCGCCCGATGGCACTCGACCACCCAGAAGCTGAACCAGCAATTGGTTTTGAGCTCGGAAAAATACCCTTTTCGTTTCTAACAGCACCAGACGCTCCACCGTAACACGAAGGGGCACATTCTTCTGCTCGACGGCTAGGAGCCGCTCCGACAGAGCACGATAGTACTTAACGTGAGGCAACCGGTGCACGAAGTGCTCCAAGCTCTTGAAGTTTTCTGCACAGCGGTATGCGACCTCGGCAAGATGCTCAGCAGATGCCGTTGACGACGGACTTTGTCCTCAAGAGCTCAAGACACGCGAGCCTCGTACGAGGCGACAGTTAAATGTGAATTGTGGGTATTCACAATTTCGATGATGATAGATATAGGCGGCTTTGCCGCAAATCAGATAAATACAATTTCAATTTTGAACGGAAGAGTGCATTCACCTTGGGTTAAGGTTTTGGGTCCTCTTGGAGATAGAGGATTGCGATCCGCTACACCCATACTGGTTCTAGTATAGAACGTAAAGTTGGTGACGTTAGTAAGCTTTGTCTATGCATGGATCTATGGCAGCCCCGCTGCAAGAAGCATGCTTGTCATGTTTGGGTGCTTTTGATCGATTTGAAGCTACGAGGATCAATACAGATTGTTTGTCGTCGCGCGCAGTCAAGTCGTCAGCATATTTCTTACAAAAGGCGGCAAAATTGTCGCGGTTCACTCCCGAGTTTACCGTTGAGAAACGGCTCAAACCGAATCGTCTTAATGTACTGGTAGACGCACTTTGTTGTCGTTCTGACTGTGCATCGACGCATGAAATGATGGCGAGCGTCGCCAATTGGGGAGTTGAAACGTAAGGTTTACGGGTTAGAAGCAATGCGTGCTGCGTTGTTAAAAGCTTCAGAAGCAAAAAGTTTTAGGGCTCACATTCCGTAATATTAAAGCGTTTGGTTGAATGTTTACACCATTATACTCTTTCCGAATGCTTTTTTAACCGCATCTCCGGATCAATTGACTCTCAATGTGTGATGGCACCTCATAACGAAGCCATGAAGTACGTAGTACTCTTCTGCGAAGCGACCGTGGAAGAAAGGTATACTGTTTAGTGAGTGCTATATACTGGTGGTCTAACTTGTATAAGTGGGTAGTATCTCAAGTGCGCGATGCGAATGTGTCAGCAGTGTAGACCCTCGCCGCATTCGTCAGCGCTTTTGGCCAGTCTGTCACTCATAGCTAGCACTGACAGTCCTGATACGTGGACTTGATTGTTGGTCATCCAAAAGACGCGTCCGCTTACAGCGATATTGTGGCCTGTGTGGATGATCAGAGACGAATGACTCATCTTGTTGCTGTCAGCAATATTAAAATATAGCGAAGATGCTCCCCGAAAATTATGAAACGCAACATGACTTACAAGTGGCCATTGACATTTCCACCTTACAAAACTATTGTTAAAATTCTTGGGGTGTTAAATTGTTCAAATGTATGTAAACTTGAAGTGGCAGGTGTTTAATACTGTGCTGGTAGTAAAGATTGACCAGACATTACAACTTGACACAATTTCTCGCTGATAATAGTATTGCCTATGCTCACTCATATTTCGGGTTGGTGTGGACGCTAATTAATCCCTTTCTTCTCCATCGACTTTTATAAAACAACTTCACAACGCCAATATGGGTACTAATAAAATCTATATAGAAGGAACAGATGACACGAGAGTTGGACTGGATCTTCCCTCCTAGTCAAGAAATGCGATGTTGAAGGAAATAAAAAGTCGGGCAGGGTCACGTAGCGCCAGCACAGAGCTCCCAGTCATACAGTATTTTCAATTAGTAAATTACCAGCGAGCTATTTTAATCAATGGTATGTAACTTCTAGAACTTTTTAGATAGCATTTGATATTCATCACACCAGCAATTTTTTTAATTTTGGTACCTAATTTTAATTTCAAGGTCTAAAAAAAGAGCATCACAATCTACTTGTTGAAATGTCCAGTCGTTCGCGTAATTGTGCTCGAAATTGCTGGTTGTTCACACTCTTCAACATTCTCTGTCATTGCGAACCACAAGCATTAGTGAAAGCCTTGAATCTTCAGTTCTAATGTATTACTTATAACGACATTGTTCCTCTGGACCGAGACGTTTTGTATGATCGATTGTTCCAGCTGTTGGCGTATTCGACTCGCGTAGTGGGCACACGATGTTCTAGCGCCATCGCTAAGGGCATCATCTTTCTCCTTTAAATAAAAGCAGTGGCGAGTTCCTCATTCTTCGATTAACCATCTCTCCAACAACAACCAAAGTCCTACCATGAAGCTCTTTTTTAGTACATTTGCTGCCTCCGTGCTCTTTACAATGATGACTGAAGATTCGTATGTGCTTTGTCAAGTCAATGGAAGCGATTCTTTCCAGCCGATCGACTATTCTAAGGTCCAGCCTAACTCGATGATGAAAGCAGCTTCAGTATCGCCACTAATATCCGAGCAGCTAATGCCGCAGTCGAATTCGGTGCCGCAGCAACCAAAGTCAATGCGACGACTGCAAACTTCGTCCCCACAGTCGTTAATGACGTCTAGCTCCGGTTGCACCCTATCGGGAACATACAAGAAGGGTACTGATATCTCATCGTGTAGCACGATAAATATTAATTCCTTAGATGTCCCAGCTGGCGTCACGTTGGACCTGAGCTTGGCTAAAAAGGGGGCCACTATCATTTTCAATGGAAATACCACGTTTGGCACACGAAAATGGGAAGGTCCTCTTGTTCGTGTGAGTGGAATCAATCTTATGGTCAAGGGGTCCGGTATTTTAAATGGACTTGGAGCTTGGTATTGGAAGCAGGGCCAATCAATTACACGTCCAGTTTTCTTTAAACTGCAAAATGCCATCAACTCCACGGTAACTGGCTTCACAATCATGGACATGCCTTTTCGTACCTTTAGCATCGTAACCTGCAAGAACACGATTCTTAAGGGTCTTACTATTGACTCTCGGTCTGGCAAAGATTTGGCAAAAAATACTGACGGGTTTGGCTTGACTAAGAACGAAAACGTTGTTATTGTGAACAATACGATCTTTAATCAAGACGATTGTCTAGCCATGCAATCAAGCACAAATACAACATTTCGCAACAACTACTGCTGTGACAGTCATGGTATCTCAATTGGTTCAATTGGTGCCAATAGTGTTGATGTGTCGACCACGGTTCGTGGGCTGATAGTGGAAGGCAACACGATCGAGAATAGTGTTAACGGCCTTCGTATCAAGGCCATTTCCGGACTTCAAGGTCTAGTCTCAAACATCAGATACATTAACAATCGCGTTTTAAACGTAAGAAACGCGATCGTCATACGCTCGGATTACAGCAAGGCAAAGGGCAAATATGATGGCCCGCCCACCAGTAAAGTGATTATCGAGAATGTAATGATTTCAGGCCTTTCCGGTTCGGCTACGAACTTGTACGACATTGTCGTTAATCCGAAAGTCGTTTCGAACTGGGACTTCTCTGATCTGTCAGTAACCGCTTTGTTCAAGGGCAAATTATCTGGTCTGCCGTTGAATCTTCAACTTTAAACTTCATGGAAGTTCATGTCGAAGTTGTTTGTGTCGTACGTCCAGAGATCAACTTTAGGTCATTAGGACAAATTAAGTGTAAGAACCCAGAAATAAAGCTTTATACGTTTGTGTTTACTTCTAAGCTATGAGCAACGTAAAATGTTTAACATCAAGAGAAGTAACTTGGTCATATGTACAAACGAGCGCAACAACTCAAATTTCATTTATTATGCAACGTTCTTACCAACATAATCGAAGTTCCGTTTGATGATTCTAGAAATTAAGCGTAATAGAAGTAAGTTTCAAATGAAAGCTCTCTTTCTTATAATTAATCGAAGTGGAACCATCAACTATGCAGTTTTCGGTCGAGTCGTTGGGTTTACAAATGGAAGGTATCAACAAAGTATGGTAACATGCCACACGTTAGATCTTTTAAGTCCTGGATACGCATTGATTGATGATTTAAAATTACTACATGTGTGGGTGCAACGTTCTTCAGTCAAGAAACTTATTCGTATTTGTGTTATAATTATTCGACAAAACTTAACTAGAGAAATGAAATTCTGAAGTCGGCCGTCGGACGGAGTAAACTTAGTTGCTTACATGTTCTATGGTTGTCAATCCAGACGTCTGACTGATAACTTGCAGAATCATTTATAAATTCTAGTAGAGTCACTTGCACTAGGCTGTGCGTCAAAATTTAATGGGTTCGTACATTTTTTCCTTTCTGAGAATGACGGGGTGCGACCGTGAGCTGTACTTCAATAAGCGCTGTACTTAGCTCGAATGCTATATACATGCTTCTTTGATGGCTAGAAATACCTATAAGAGCTTAAATTAAAGTGCTTCTTAGTCGACGATTCCTCAACACTCAAAAGCAGAAAATTACATGGTGGGCTGGGTGGAGTGAGTTTAATTAAATAAGCTTCACATAATTTTAAGACTTTCGTCACGAAGAAGTACAAATTCTAAATTTGGCCATGGAACTGATGTGCTACTTAATATCATCATTAGTACTATCGGTGCCAATAATTGCTACATACATTGGGAAAGTTGCAGATAGCATATTACTATTCAGTGATACCGCTATTACTATTTGTACAAAGTTATGTATTAATACGGAACGTACTCTATTTGCAGTCACAGACGACCACAACGAACATGCAACGGACGTCGAATGGCATTCACTCTTCTATTGAATTGGTATCATGTCGAATCAAAATGGAGGTTTATCTGCGAGTCCAACAAAGGAAAAGATTGCCTCTCTGGTATGTGCAACTGACCACGTCACAGATCAAATTAGAAACAGCCACATTCTGCAACCATCCTTTACAGACACTTCTATAGATGCATATTGGACGTCGAATAAACCTAAGGTTGTCATATCTGAGTCACGATTACCTCGTCAGTCTGTCGTGAGTGTTGTCGCTGCTGAAGTTGCTACATTTTTCGACGTATTTGGTTTTCTTGGAGTGCCTATGGTCTTCATGTTCATTCTCTCAGCTGCTTGGACTTTTATGTTAGCTGTTATTCAAGTGTGTGCCGACGACATGGCAAACATAATCATGAATACCACCGATTTTGACAATGGCAAATTCTGGCTCCTACCTCGACCAAATGATGCAGTTATTTATTCATCTACTGTCTTGCTTACGGTGTTTGGAGCAGGCTATTTAGGGCTAGCCATAAAAATGCTATTTTTCTATCGTGCCAATTGTCCTCCTGAGCTCAAAACTGCGGCTAAAGTGGTTGAGAAACCAAAAATTGCTGCTCAAGTGCTAGACTACCCAAAACTTTCGATTTTAGGTCAGATTTCAGAAACATGGTACCATTTTCAGAAACGCATTGGTTGGATTCAGCTCAAGTCTGATATACCAGTTGATATTATTCAGCATTATTACGTATGTATTTTTCCACGTGAATAATATGGCTATCGCTCACTACTTCTCGTTTCTTGTAGACTGCGGCACTTGATCTCCCAAAGCTTATTTTCCAGACTCTTACACTTTATACGTACCTCGAGAAAGGGTTTACAATTGGGATCATCTATACCTACTCTGTATTACTGCTATGTAATTGGCTTGTAGCTTCGTATCGCAGCCAATGCTACGTTGCAGACTCTGCGTTGGTCTTGGCTCGGCTCTATTATACGTAAGCTGCAACTATTTTGTTACTGCAAATTAAGTTGAAAGCTGACCAAAATCTCGCTTTTGGTAGCTTTGACTTGTTCTTTGCTGTTTTTGCACCGCTTGTGGTATTTGTGTATTATATCGACACTTTTGAGTTTGATCGAGCGGCATTCTTAACAAAAACCGAAACGATCCATGCGGGGACATTCGATACGGTTGCTCGTCTTTTTGGTGATCCGTCCCAAATTTCGAGCTTCTGTAGCGCTTTTCATTATTTGCAATTTACTTCAGGCTCAACATTATTTTATAAATCAGCGCTGAATTTGCTCTCTTTGTACAAGTGGAAAAAAATCATTACGACTTTGATCCACAACTATCATGAACGTCAACTCGAGCAAAGGCTTAAAGTCGTGATTCGACCAGCTGCCAGGCCTGCATCGCGTACAGCAAGTATACGAAATACTGTGAAGCAGCTGTCGAGGACTTCATTGAGACTCAAACATGGCAGGCATGTTGGGATTAAACTCTTTCTATCGATATCATTTTTTTGTGCGGGAAGTGGCATTTTTTGCTACTCCATAGGAGCTATCGAGTCCACCAACAGCCTGTGTAGCAAGTTTCATAAATGTACTGTCGCAAGCTACCAGTGGAATTTTGGGTCCGACTACTGCACCTGTCTAGTGTTTGTGGACCGTCAGATTGCACCGAAATCTTACGCTGAGTGGACGGATCCTGAAGACACCACAGCTGATTTGGCTCAACTTGCTTTTGCTGGAAAACTGCGCATTGTACAAATTATCAATCGCGCTGTCCCTAGAATACCAGAAGAGTTGAGAAATTGCGAATTCCTTGAGCAATTAATTCTAGTCTACACCAAAACTACGGCTTTACCTGAATGGCTATCGAAGTTCTCCCATCTTGAGTATCTGTAAGTAATGTATAAATGTGATATTAACTTTATCTTTTACTGAGTTTTGTTGCTAAAGGCATATCGAAGGAGATTTTGCAGGCAAGACTTTGACAGAGATGCCGGATGGACTCTTTGATAGCATGCCAAATCTCTCATTTCTGCACTTGGGTGGCATTCCCCATGTGCAAAAGATACCATCTCTTTCAAGACTGAAAAATTTGCGCTACTTAACATTAGCTCTGATTGATTCTCTTGAAAAATTTCCAAGCTTTGAAGGGCTGTCGCAATTATATGATTTGACTATCGTCAGTGCACCACGTGCTGCAGTGCTACCTTCGATGAAATCATTAGTCAACTTAAAAACCCTGAAAATACGGCCAAAATGCGCCGTGTGCTGCAATGGATTCATATCTGGAGTTTGTGACATGACGCCGATCTCGTGTTTGCCTGTGCCGTATGAAAGATATCCTCTGTCTTGTACTGATTCGCGAATATCTGATGACGACAAGGCTTTTCTTGAAATGTTTGGAGGCTATATTTGCCCTAATGAACCCGTTATTGATCGAATTGCAATGGCACCAACTGAATATACAACCGACAAACTTTGTGGCGGCGTCAAATACAAAGAATGTATCCACAACGCTGTCCAAGGAATTTGCTATAACACTCGGATGATGGTCATTAGTTGTGAAACAGCGCCTGGATACATCGATATGCGAAAGCTTCAAATTCAGCGTGGTGTCGGTGATCGGTGCGATCCAGACGTGGAAGCATGGCTTGGATGTACATCACTGCCGGATTAACATCGCAGAATTCGGTTTACAAACCAATACTATTTATTAACAGGATGACAAACTTCTCTATTTTTTCATTAGACATACCAAATAAACACTCAAAAATATACTTCGATCGATGTTTTGCTGACTAGCCTCCGTTCGATGCTTTCAGATGCATTAAATCGTTGATACACATAAATCGAGTCTATAGTCTGAAGTATATTGAGCCGATATATTCAAAAGAAGTTTCAGGGCAATTGTGAATTTCACATCTTTCTTTGCATTATTTTGAATATTGCAGTGTTAATTGGGCATACAGCTTTCACAAATGATTGCACGTTCAATATGTTTGCCAGATATTGTGTCATAATTATTACGAGCGCAATAACAGATCGTTTTTATTGTGGTGAGACCGAGACATTCCATCGTCATAAGCATCGTGATAGTAGTTGCTAGAAAAATGTGGCCTAACAGTGAACAGGGTGTTTTAATGAGTAATTATGTACACAAGTACGCTCCGTTTAAGTACGATATAAGGTTCGTTACTTTTTCTTTTGGCTCCATTTCCTTCTTCGCGACGAGTGGAATAAAAGCGCGATCAAAGTAGTTGACAATGGCGCAATATGGCAAAGTTACGTACTGGGACGAACGCTACACCAAGTGCGTCTTTTATCCTTGTGTTTATCTTCATTTTCACATATTATAACGTAATTTTACTATGACACTAACGTGAAATTTCTTTTCTTGTATCACATATAAAGGGATGCGGAGCAATTTGATTGGTACCAGCGATATGGTGGCTTGAAAGATCTTCTAAATCAGTATGTCAAGAAAACAGACAACATTTTAATGGCGGGTGCTGGCAATTCAAGGCTTTCGGAAGAAATGGTGAGTGATGGCTACCAAAAGCTTATGAACGTGGATGTGTCGGAGGTCGTGATTAAGCAGATGACGACTAAGTACGAAGATCGTGCAGAGCAAATGCAATGGCAGAAGATGAATATGTGCTCATTAGAATTTGCGGACAAAACATACGATGCGGTAGTGGACAAAGGTACAATGGACTCGATCTTGTGTGGTGAAGGATCAACGGCCAATGTGGCCAAAATGTGCCAAGAAATTTACCGTGTTCTCAAGCCTAATGGTGTATACTTTGTCGTGTCGTACGGTGTGCCGGATAACCGATTGAGTTATCTTGAAAACAAAGATTTGCAGTGGAAAGTGGCGGTGCACACAGTGCCCAAGCCCACAGTCAGTGCCGTGCAAGTCTCGGAGTCAGATGCTAATGCTGTGCACTACATTTATGTGTGTCAGAAGGGCATAAAGACTGAGTAAGAAGAAGAGAGAGGAAGGCGATGGAGTTGCCGTTATATATCGGACTTGAGACAGTTCTTAATTCAAAACAGTGCCAATGACTGGTTTTGCGGATTTCTTACCGTTTAATTTTGTACACGCCATAAATTGACATATCCAGCGCATCTTTTTCTCCCTTACTACAGTAAAACCTGTCTAAATTAAACATGTTGGGACTGGAGGACAGTGTTTAATT